TTCATTCATTATATAGCAGCCCCAGTGACTATCTTAAAATGTAAGTTATATCACCTTACTACTCTTTCCTTAACATTTTTCTAGAGACCTCTTCTATTCTTAGAAGATAATCCAAACTTCTCTCCCCAAGTCCACATGTACCCTGTTCTTTTCCTGTCTCTACTTCTCAAGAGGTCATCATGCTGTCATTCTCACCCTTAATTACCATTGTCCTGTCATTCTTTGCTACTGCTCCAACAGACCAGAAATTTGTCTGGCCTAAGGTGTTGGTGCTTACTGTCAGAATGCTATTTGTTAGGCTCTTCAAATGGGCAACTGTTGTCATTCATGTTGCAACTCAAATGTCCCTTTCACTTTAATGCTCCTTTCACTCTAATGTTGCCACCTAGTCACTACCACACAGTCCTCTTTTATGATCAGATTTTATTTTCACAACCTGAAATAATTTCTTTCATTTATTTACTTGTTTCTGTCTGTCTTTTCTCTCGACAATGTTGACTGGAAGAGACTAGGGAACCTGTCTTCACTCTCTGGCACATTGTAGGCTCTCAATATCGGGAGGGGGAAAAACCCCTGATTTTCTCTAACTATTGATAATATCTTAGATCCTATTACATTGGTCAAGTTGGGTAAACCCTTTCAAGGCTATCTCAGAATTAACATATTATCAATAAAATGGAAATAATTTAATTGTTTCACTCACAAGCTGCTCAGCAGTTTCATTTAATAGAAAAAATTTTTTTAGACAGCTTTTTTTTTTTTTTTTTAAACATCCTGTGTCCATCAATTCTCCATAATGATAAGAATGTATCTACGGACTGGAGAGAGCTCAAATCTCTCTCATCACAGGACTCCGAGGAACTTAGGTTCTTTATCTTCCCTTCACGATAACCTTGAGGTTATTCCTAGAGATCCATTTTAATTTGCGTTTTAAGGTAAAGAATCTGTTGGGAACACACGGTCTCATCTCTCTCTTTTTTTTTTTTTTGTAGGCAACTACCTCTTGGGCAGTGTAGACTATTGCATCCCAATTTATTTAAAGATATTTACTTGGTGAATGGGTTTCTTTAGGCAAATAATAATAAAGCAAGCTCTCAAAAGTGAAATACTATTCCATGTATTTACTACTCTGGTGGGGAAAAATATTTCAAGAAAAATAAGTCTGAGGTTACAAATAATACCTTCAAGGTGCTTCGTACCATCTTAAATAGTAATCTGAGATGTCTAAAAAAATTTTAACCTATTTTAAGATTTATTTATTTTAGGTTTTTGTCACAGGGTGCATGCACTCTCCAGAGAGATAGAGAGAGGGAGGATGGCAACGCCACAATCCCTTCTCCAATTTTTCTCTCAGGATTTTGGGAATGATGCACACACACGTGGTGTGATTCTGAAGCAGCTGGGTCCAGGACTTGAACTGCTGTTGACCATTTGTGAGTCTAGCACCTTAAGCACCACAGTACCTGCTAGCCCCAAGAAATATTTTAAATGACCTTGCTGGTTACTGTGTCTTCGTAAAACATGCTGAGGAGACAATACAAAGGTAAGACTTTCCTTTGCTGTGCATGCTAAATCAAGATAAAATCTGAGCATTATGAACAGACTTTTTACTACAAAGAGGGTATATAAGCAGACACAGTCATGAAATGGCTAGTCTATATTCATGCAGTTAGAATTATAAACCAGAATTTTATTATACCATGAAAATCAACCTCATACAAAATTTATTTGATCTGTTACAATATTCATTCTTTAAAAAATGAAAAACATACTGCCCCCTGGGGCCAGCAGGTGGCATGGTGGTTAAGGTGCTGGACTCTTGCATGGCTGACTGCAGTTTGAGTCCCGTACCCAGTGGTTTGAAAATCACACAGGACATGTGCATTCATGTCCAAAATCTTGAGAGGAGAATGGAGAAGAGACTATAGTGTTGGCCATTCCCCTGGGGGGGGGGGGGGGGTTATTTTTCACCTTCTCTCTTTTTGTCTCTCTTGGGCAAGTGTGTGCCTGCCCCTTGGCAAAAATTGAAAAAAAAAAAAAAGAAAAGCCCCCAATTTAGCATTTCATCCTACAGCTACTGTTTAAAAATAAGTATAAAATTTTATTCTATTATCACGTCTTAATTGACGATTAACTCTATTTTCCCTAAGGAGTCGGAAATATAGCATTTCAATAGACAGTATTCAACTTGATAGTCAGACTAAATGCTTGCTAAAAATGCATTTCTAGATTTGTTGTTTTGAATTTCTAGGTACAATTTCTTGTAGAACAATTGCAGAATAAATTCAGCTACCTAATCTGTAACACAGCCGAATGAGTACTTTAGTGTATTTCTGTTCTTAGTATTCATCAACAAGGAAGGTATCCTACTCCCCTGTATAGAAGAGACTTTCTAAAACCGAAAGGGCTAGTTTTGGTTCTCTTCCTGGGAACATGATGATAACTGGAACAAAACAAAAAAAGTCAGAACTGTATTTCAGCACAAAGCTCAAAAACAGAGTTTATGATCTAGTATGATTCATACCTCCCTTTCTATTTATAGAATGGCAGAAATCATAAAGCAAATGCCACTGTAAATTTAACTTGAAATGTAAAGAAAAAAGTCAAATATTAATTCCTCTCATTAGTTATTACATTTTACGGTTTGAAAAAAACAAAAAGAACACTAATACAGAAAGAACACTAAGTGTTATACACAATGTTTTGGATCTACACTGAAACTGAGGTCTGTAGTTTAAGTGATTATGGAAAAAAATAATAGATTTTTATCAGTTATTGAATAAACAATTTGGTTTAAAACACTTTCAAATTTGTTAAAATTTAAAAGAAACTAGTCTTAATTTGTGTTTTTAACATTCACATTAGTATTTCTAAAACTTCCACACTATTTTAAGTCATCTTCTAAAATAAAAGTGAAGATTTCTAGACACAGAAAGTAATTTACTTAAAGAAACCTTTGAAATATCATTAGTACAATAATTCATACATTCACGCTATACTATAATTTCAGACCTATACAATGAATATGCTACCAAAACTGCACAGCATATGGCACCATTCCTACCGACAATATATCATTTCTGATGTTAAAACCTTAAGAACCTACAAAAAAGTGACAGCTGACCCAGAAGAGCAGGTTTAGGTGGCCTTACAGATAACGTATTAATAGACTGGGATGCTGACAAAACAGGGAAGGAAGAGAAAAATTAAATAACAAGAATGAGGTGTATATTCCACTATTTTGATGATCTCAAGTTATGCATCCACCCATCCAGCAAGCCAGTTAACAAACCAACTAGTTATTCAAAGTCTTAAAAGGAACGAGGCACTGTGAGACTTGTTCTTACTTGGATCAAAGACATACATTCTTTGGATGGCTGCACAGAAGTGCTGTCTAATCCGAGAATAGAAAAATTTAGCTGGTACTCACTGAATTCACCTCCAGTGTTGGTCTCATTAGTATTAAGTGCTCACTGGCTCTAATCTTTCCAATTTCTGTGCCAGTTGGTACTCTACACGTTCGACTCTGAGAAAAGCGTCTCCAACTTGATCAAGACCAATTTTTAGCCTCAACAGCCTCTTCGGCCAGATAAAATTCAAAGAAAAGAAATGGAATGGCTTGGTGTGAAAAACTGTGGAAATACACAGGTTGCTGAAGTAATGGAGCCATGCTCCAGCTACAGGTACTAGTTGGACCTTTATGCTTATCTTCTAACTTTTTGATTCAGACATTGAATTAAGGAGTTTATACACACGTACACACACGGAAACACATATGCACATACATAAGTAAATATATAAAAACATATATTTATACTATATATATGAGTCAGTATGGCCTAGCATTAAACCAGGGATTGCTCTCAACCCTTATCAATACAATGTAGGTAGTTCATTTATTGTGAAGGAAGGATACTGCTCATGGAGAAACACAATACTGTATGACAACATGAACACCACTTGACCCTATTAAGTTTCCTTTCTATCAAACATGGATAATAATCACTGCTCTTCCTAACTCACACGGTCACTGAGAAGTACAAGTTAGAGATAGTAAATGTGAAAGAACCTGCAATCTGCTAAATGATTACCGTGTAAGGTGCTCCTTTTTTGAACTCTTTAACTTTATTCCAACCCAGAGTTTTATTTTAAGTTTAGCTTGATATCTACATACAGAAAATCTAAATTACCAGAGCTGTGGAAAGGGTGGTGAAGAAATAAAGGAAAATGATGATTAGGATACTAGACCAGAACACAGGAAGTTAATTCCAGAATTACAGTAAGTCCTGATGCAAAACCGGGATAGTTAAATGCTTACTTACCTTACCCAAACAATGGTGATTTCCCTTGTCTCCACCTGCATCCCCTAGCTTGCAAATGCCCTTGAGCTATACTGTGTTACTTTTAGGTGAATCACTGGCGACGAGTTGAGTCTGGAGGTGCACAGGAGGAGACTTTCAACCCTGGCGTCCAACCTCTTCCTCACACTCCTCCTACTGTCTGGGCCTGGCCCAGTTAAAACTATTCCCAGTAAGAAAATGACTGTTAGATCTCTTTTAGGGCGCACTTTGTAACCTCAGACTCCCTAAAATCAGTATCACACCTATTCCTTATCTATTTCTCACCATAGGTTCAGAGTTGGAAAACTTGTTTTATATTTTGTTTTTCTCAAGACTCACAGACCTCTCTCCCTCCTATCTTCGACTCTCTCAAACGTAGCATGAAGAATGACGGCGCCTGTCAGCCTCATCTCAGAGACACCTAGAGAATGAATGAGGCAGTGCCTAGAAAGCGCCAGGGGTCGTGTCTGATAAACAGCGGGTCTATCACTGTTTCAGGAGTGTCCTGATGAGTCCCATCATGCCCTCCGACTCGAGGAAATCGCTCGGTTGGAATTTACACCCCTAGTCACTGAAGCAGGTATCCCTGAGGCTGGCCGAGGCCGTTTGCACAACTATTTTGGGGTGAAGGGTAAAGGGCAGGGGCCACAACCGGCCTACCTGTTGTTCCGGATGCTGACCAGCACGCACAGCACCAGCTCCAAGTAGGTGCGCAGCACTTCCAGCCAACGGGTTGAGAGCTGCAGGGCCTCGCCTTCTTCCCCTCCAGTCCCGGAGTCTGCTCCCCCTCCGTCCCCTGGGCCGCCGCCGCCGCTCAGGTAGTTCTCAGCAGCGAACTCAACGCGCAACTCTCGCACGAACCAGCCGCACTTGCGCATGAGGAATTCGAGCCGAGGCTGCTCAGCAGGCGAGACGCGGAGGCAGATGCGGAGCTGGGGCCACAGAGCGGGGTAGAAAAGGCATTCGCGCCAGTGCGAGCAAGAGGCCGAGGCCCGTAGCCGGTCGGGCGCCGGCAGGAAGGAGAAGATGTGCACGATCAGTTTGATTAT